TTTTAAAGTGTCAGAAGCTCTGATTTTGTATTGTAATATTGACTTCACTTTCTTTTACCTACCAATGGGAGCTTCTTTGGATGAATCAGAAGGGGTCACTGTAGTATATAAGGTTGAACTTCCAGAGCAGTTACTGCATGCAGTTAAAACATAAATGTCTGGCATGAACAATTGAGACTTGAGAATTGATGGTATTTGGTAATGAAGGGCTTCATCTTTTCGTGTCAGCAATGATATTTGAATATCTTAGCTTTTAGAAATGAAAACACGTACCTCTACGTAAGCGAGGTTCGGTTTTCTTCAGCAGATGGAACTGCCATATTAACCATATGACACTCACTGTATGGCAAAGTCCAAATATGCTCTCTATTCTTAAAATACAAAAGTATGAATATACTGAATATCAGGGTAATTATGGCAACGTGCAACTACTTTTTAGGTAATACACATCAAGATGTTTCAAAGTCACTCTGTAAATGTGTAAGCTGTATAAATATTTAATAAGCTTGTTTGGCACTTCCACCACTTTTCAAAACATGTTCACAAAACAAACAAATCTGTCTTCTTTTAGCAGCTTTCTGAATGTCTCATCAATGAGATCAGGACCAGAATCTTGGGGTGGGAGGAGGAGCTTCCTTACTATCACTGTGCTATTCACATGACAGGGATTGTTATTTTATGTAACTGTATGACGTTCTCCAGCAGTATGTTAGAATCTGGGACTCCATGCCCAGCCAAGAACATCCATTTGAGTAGTCCCACCGGTGTGCTGTGCTGCTTCATTGGTATTTTGCAGTAATCCAATTACTGGGCATTTGTACCACGTTCCAGAAAGTCTGGCCACTTTCTGTTGAGTTAACAAAGAGGAAAAAAAGTAATTTAATAAAATCAGGGACCTTCTAAAATTACAGTTTGGCTTTTGTGTTGTGGATTATTATGCCATTTAGTTGAATTGTTTCTGATGCTTCCCCTATCATTTCATTGGTATTTTAGCAGCTTACTGTTTTCAAAATTTGAAGACAGTTAAGAATTAAATGTAGGTTTTAGTTGAAATACTTGCTTATTGTCATTCCATACTCCCATCTAGCCAGTGATTTTGAACATAACAATGAGGAAAATGCAGTTATTTTTCATCAGCAGCCACACAGAGCGAACTGTAAGTCTGTGATATTCTCTGATCTTGTATATGGAAGATTATTTTGTTTTCAGTCCTCTCCAATTGCCTTTTCCCAGCAGATTCCTCAGGAACGATGAAGGCAACTTCACAGTTGCCTGTGTGCAATCTTAAACTTCCTTTGAATTATGTTTTTTTGCACGTCCTGTGCAAAGGACTCATTAGTATCCGTACCAGTAAAGCAGAGATGGTACACTGCTTTATGGCTTTAGCCACTTATGCTCTGGTGACGAAATGGAAGTGAATTTGTGATGATATTACATTGTGAAGTAGTTTCTGGGGTGTTTAGAGGAACTCAAAGGTATTGAGGCACTACATAATGTTTTTCCAAGGTGTTTGCATTAGAGGCCTGAGGAGTAGGTGATTCATAGTTTACTTCTAACATCAGAAAACAACGATTGCAATTCTGTGAGATGTGTTATTACATTTACTAGATTGAAATCTTCTATGCTTGAAGTGGAAGGCTGGCATATTTTTGGTTGATGACTAGGGTAAACTAACTTTAGTTGGCAGATGGAATCCCTTTTCCAATGCTCTTTCCCCTAGCACAAAGTTATTTATTTTGTCTTTTAGTTACAGTGTGCTAAAGAAGCATTTCTGCAGTAAAATCCTTTAAGGGAGACAACCTGTATCTGGTATCTTCCCATAATGAACTTGACAGTAAATACACCACAAGAGTTCATTTATCTAACTTGCTTCATAACCATAAAAACAGAGTTCTCAGGAGATAAGGTTTCACCTCTAGATATAGATTGGTTTTAAGGATCAAAATAGAAGTACATATATTGGCCTTCTGCCCCAGTGCACATTAATAATGAAACTGTATAAGAACTGATGGTCTTGATATGACATCAGGCACTTGTGCACACGCAGACCACAGAATGTCCACTCTGATTTCCAGAATGGTGAAGCAAGTGAATATAGCAGTAATAACTTAATTGAATATACCCACTCTGACCTAATGAAAAAATGTTCAGAACTACTGTTATTCAACTAGCTACAATATAACAGTATTCATGTCCTTTAAATTTTAAATAAAACCTACAAAAATACAAGTTCCAGTCTTTAAAGAAACTTAGGCATTTGGAGAAATGGAACTAAAGATCTGAAGTCTCTTTTGGAAATGGGGCTTCCAGAAGATCCCCATTGCTAATTCAACAAGAATAAAGATCCTCCATAAGAACAGCAAATATATGCAAAACTATTTTAGTACTGTTCAAAATGTGCTTGAGTATTCTTTCATTAGGTATTATCAGTTCTAATCAGCAGTACATATTTAAATAGATATATGAATAACAGGCTTAGATCATTTAGTCGCTGAAATTAGAAATAATTTTCCCATAGTCTGGGAAAATTAAAATCACTTGCCATTCTTTGTGGATAGTTATTGAAATTCTGTTCAAGAATGCATAAGGAAATACTTGACAGAAAAAATAAAGAATTTGTTTCATCTGGAATAAATATAGCATACAGTACAGATTTTCCTATGTGAAATCAGGTGCTCTAAAAAGAACTAAAAGGTGTTCAGAAAAGAAATAAAAATATGGTAAAACACAGAAGAGATTGTATTTGGGGGGATGGCAAAGTAGAAAGGAACATCATGAAGTTACACGGGTCTACAAAAGGCAGGAGGCTTTGCAGAAGGTGAGGAGATGCAGCAATTGAAAGGTCATGTTCAAAAGTGATAAATCATGTTGTATATGTATTTTCTTACTAGATTTACAGAATTGTCAACAGGGTCTTGATGAAGCTGTGTAGGACATTGTATGCATGTTCAAGATCTCATTATATAACTTTAAATAGCGTTTCTACATATACTTGTTACGTATGCGGAGAAGATCTGTAAAACCATCAGGAATTTAAGTTTTTACCTAAAAGGGACTGAAACGACTTTGGCATAATACGTATTTGAAGGGTTTCTGGCATCTGCTTCTTACGCATCTGTTGCAGATAAGGTGATGAACTTGATCTTTTAGCTCATCTAGTTGTGTATTTATGTATTCCTGTGCATGCAGTGGATGTTGGTTCAGTAATTTGAAGTTTTATTTCAAGAAATAAGGGAAGCCTTCAGTCCATGCTTTCTGTAAGAGAGAATTGAGTGAAATGCCTGTTCAGTATTGAAATGATAGTCCAAGGATGTTTTTATTTTAGCAATCAGACCTTGAATTTTTGGCATCTCAAGAAAGATATTTGTCACATTTGAGTGTGGTATGACCCAGATTGAGATTGAAGTGGAGGCAATGATCACGAAGGGCGAGATATATATCTCAATTCAATCTGCATCTTTTCATCCATATTTCTGAATCGCCTATACCAATATAGAAAACTTGCCTTTTTTGCTTTGTTCCTAAAACTGGGTTTCAAAGCCAGGCACAGATAATAAGACATGTCTTTTCATAGCTGGTGCTATTGAAACAAAGAGCAAAGATAAATCAATTTTTCTTCACTACTTTTTTTTTTTTTAATAATTCCATGTGTGATACTTTTTCCCTTTCTGTTTTCTTAACAACCACACTAACATAAAGGTAGCCTGTTCTCTCCTACAATTTGTGTTTTAGTCCAGGAGCTTGAAATACTTTACACACATATTTTTATATATCTCTGCGTGTGCATATATATATATGCACAAATACACTCTCTCAATCATTCACTCATTTTTATCCTTTTCTAGTTCTCAGATATCATCATTTTGTGGTTTTAATATCTTTTGAACATTCAAGGAGCAGCAGTAATGTAAAGCATTCAGTGAGAGGCAGAGTGATGCTCTTGGCACCATAAGGCAGAAAAAATATTGCAGCATAGGCAATACGATACTTCATTTCATACACAGTGGACTACATGACCCCTGTAATTGTGTGACTCTTTCAATTATATCATCTTAATACTACTTATCACTATGTAGCTTTCATTTTAGGGGTAGGAACTTTGAGGCAATTTCTTTACTGTTATAAAGTGTTAGGGCCAAATAAGGAAAAAGCTGATTTTCTTTGTAGACTAGAAATAAGTGGCTACTGAAGATGCCCTCCTCACCTGTAGGAAAAAATACTGACGTGTTTCAATCACATGCTTCCTGGAAAACTAAGTAACATTGACTAGCTTTAGACAAAGAGACAAGAAACTACATCTTTTCAGCTACAGAGCAAGATGATGTGGCATGACATGTCCCTATGTCAAATGCCTCTTCACTCCCCATGGTTAGTGTAAGAACAGTTCATGACGAGAAGCTTCTGAAAACTGGCATAGTAGTGGAACGGTGAACGCTGTTGCAGTTGCTGCCAAGTTGGGGTGCTGGCAGTAAGGAGGAAGCAAGACGCTTAGACTTAACAGTTCTGACTTGGATGCCTGCTTGGGAGCTCAAACTGTGAAGTACCATAGACGTGAAGTTCACAAATGACAACCAACTCCACATGAAGTAGAAAAGACTTCAGTGAAGGTGATTGGCTTTTTTTAAAAAAAAAAAAAACAAAAACAAACAAAAAAAAACCCCACAAAACATAAGCTTTGTTACTACGTACAAGATATACCTAGTCTAGATGATTTTGGGGGCTTCCTCTGTAAGATGAAAGGATGGCAAAAAAAAAAAACAAAACTAATATGACTTGTGCTTTGATACTGTGTTGATAAATACTCAAGAAAATGCAGTAAATAATGAGATAGTTATTAACACCCTGTAAGGAAGATAAGTAAAAACTTAGAGCTGGCATTAATTTTTGAGAACTGAGTAATCCCCCGGTAGGTGATCCTCCACTTCTGATTCAGGTAAGATTCTGTCACTTTGACCAAGTCCCTAACTGTATATTTTTCTTTTTCTCCCTTCCCACGGTAGGTTATGTGTTCTGTATGTTACATCGCCTGCCTGAACAACATGACTGCACATTTGACCACATGGGGCGTGGGCGTGAGGAAGCCATCATGAAAATGGTGAAACTGGATCGGAAAGTAGGGAGATCTTGCCAACGCATCGGCGAAGGATGTTCCTGAGTGCAAGACTGCAACCAAATGCTGTTCTCTTAGTTCACTAATGTTAGCCTTATTTAGGACAAAGTCAGCCAGACACCTTGTACTAGGCAAGTTTCAGACTACAGCCAATCAGTTTCCTTTCTTTAGCCAACCGTCCTGGTACTGTAGTTTAGGGGTTGATGGTGGTTGAAATTGATTTCTGGCTGGTTACTAAGGTGCCTGCTAGCCACCGTATAAAAATAAAACATGAAGAAATATTATTTTTGAGCATGGCTAGTGGATTTAAACAAAACAAGAAAAATCCAAAGGCTTCTGTTATTGCTGGAGTCACTCTAAAAGCCTTATGCTGGAAACATTCCAGCTGCAGAGTTAAAACAAATAGTTGTATAGAAGCTGGTGTAAAAGTTTGCTATGCACATGGCTTTCGGACAAACTGTTTAATGTGCAGCCTTTCACCTCTTCACTGCTAGTGAATCCTGAGGAGGTGAAATACTACTAAGAGCAGCAACTGCAGCTGCTTGAGCCCAGAAGACCTGACTGGTCACTCGTGCCTTCATTGCGTGTGGCTTTTGAGTTAGGCAGTGTCACCAGCATCAGGGATTCTGTTGGGATATGAACACCTTTCTGGTTCTTCCCAGGAAGCCAAAAAGAAAGGGGGACAGAGATTCTTATGAAAAATTTTTATATCTATCTTACTATAAAGAACCTATCAGGGTTTATTTTTTTTGTTTTTTTGTTTTTTTGTCTTTCTTCTCAGTTAAATTATGACCTCACTTTAAAGCCAACTCCATCCCAGAGCAGTAAATGGTGCATACTTTTTACATGGCATCCACATAGATTCTACAAGTTGTGTGAACAGATTCCACATGCCTTGAGCAGTGCAGCCATTCCCACCGGCCGAAACCTGATTGGCTCTTGTTTGCCTTTTGCTAAGTGCAGGTATCTGATAATTGATCAAATAAGGCTAATTCACAGCACAGTAGCCATGGCTGGATTCTACAGACTGACTTTCTGTAGCTAGACTTATATATTGGGGAAAAAAAAAGGACATTTTGTAGCAAACGGAATTCAGTAACAGTATTGGGGAACAACCAGTAAAACACCCTTTATCGGATTGAGTTTGTGTTCCTCACTTCCTGACTGTCAATGAGATAATCAAACGGGCTACACCAGCCCTCTTTCTATGCAGCTGAACGCTCTCATGAAAATCTCTGCCCACATCTATTGCAAAGCAAGTATAGCAAGTCAATGTGAAAAGCATTTACATGGAGTAGAATGTTTTGGATCTGTTTAGACCTATGGTTCTGTATTACGGTATGTCACGTTGAGCTGAGCTGAACTGAATTGCACCCGTCTTGTCAGTTCGGAAACACAAAAAGCAAACGTAATAATTGGCACGTCTCCTGCTGCACACAGGGTTTATGCAGGTAAAAAGGACTTGTACTAATGTGTCCCAGCTTAATCCTGAGTGAATTTAGCTTCTCAGTGTATTAGTAAGGTATTAACAATGAAATTTGTAAGAAGACTTGAAGGAGAGAAAGATTTTTGTCTCGTCTTCAAATACTGGGCAGATATAAAACATCAGAGGGGTGAAGTAACGTGTCACTTGAAAAACCCCAGCGTTTTGGGAGTAAGCTTGTATGAGTCATCTTTCATTCTACTTGTTACAGGTAACTAACTCCTTATAGGCCAAATTATATTGTTACTTCGGTAGCCAGCTAGGAGCATTTAACAAGGAGACAACTAATTTAAAAAAAAAAAAATATATACATATATGCCTTTCCACAGACACACACTCAGCATCTGTCTGTATTAGCGTTAATTAACCATGAAGCAAATCAGGAGTGTCCCATCTTTATAAAATGCAAGCTGTCCAAAAGGGAAGCAGTTGGTTTTTGGTTTTGTTTGTTTTTTTTTTTTTTTCTTTTTCTTTTATTATTGTAATAATTCAAGAATATGAAACCAGCAGCATAATCTTCTGTAATGTGCTGCATTTTCAGGAAATGGTCCTGGTGAGAGGGACTGGCCAAGGGTATTATTTACATTTGCCGTGAGGAGTTTCAAAACAACATGGATTTTGGCGGCTGCTGTGATACGCACTTTCTTTTCCTACAAAACCCTATCATAGCATTCGATGGGCATTCTGATTGATAAACAAGACTTTTCTGCATTAATACTGAAGATGCTATTTTGTTCCTCCTTAATACTCTCTTTAATCTCGTTACAAGTGCACAGATGGTTTCAAGGTGGCTCTTGAGAGAACACTACTTAAAGTTCATGTGAATTATGGACAATGTTCACTTTAAACAAAAAGTTGGGGAGGGGGTTGTTCCTTTGCAGTATCTGTTCTGTGAAGTTTGTTAAACGTAAAGAAAGCTTAAGTTCTTGTATCTTAAAAGAAGATCTTATTTAACCCTTTTGTGTTCTAGATTTACTTACACATGTAGCCTAGAGCTCAGTTTTAGTTTAACATTGTGAAAATATTAAAAGAATCTTGTAACTTTATTCTTTTTCCTCCTGCTAAAAAAAAAATTAAACCAATCAGATTAAAGTTTGAATTCCTTTCTGCCTATTCCAACAGGTCTTGCTATTTTGCACCATTTCTGCTGCAGGTTCATATAAGAAATATGATTGGGGAAAATGCCAACGCTAGGTCAGTAACTTGAAGCTGAATTTTCAGCTGGTGGAAGGCAGACAGTATTTTCTGCCAGTTTGGAAGGGAAGGATAATATGAAAGATAATATTTCTGGGTTCAAGTTTAGTGATTTATTTTGTAAGCAAATCTGGCTAAAACTACGGTAGCCGGTTTGGTCAATTTAATTTTGAGGTTAGATACAGAAATAAAAGGGACAGGTTGATCACAGTCTTTAAGTCAAAAGCATACTGTACACTACATCATTGGCATCAAAGTTTTAAAATGTCTTAAGTGTTCTTTCATGCATTTTGACAACTACTGCAGCTAGAGTAGCCATATTCCAAATTGTAATGGGCTGTATTCGTAATGGATAAGTAGAGGAATAACTACTGTTTTTTAATAATCTAGATGCTAGAAACACAAGGTTAATTAAAAAACAATTGGCTGTATTAGAAGGAGAGAGAATATCAAGGTAATTATTCAAAAACAATTATGAAAATTGTTTGGAATTGAAATTGTGCCTGATTCATGGGATACATACACCCATTTTTTTCCTCAAATTCATATGCTACTTTCCGTTATAAAACTGTGCATGATTCTTGGCTGTGTTATAGTAAAGGTAAGTTATGTAAAACAGCTCTGCCTTTTCACAAAGTTTCAAACCTATAGCTGGGTGTGAGCCAAGGCTTCAAGGAAAAATAAGAATTGCCCATGAAAGCTTCTGTGCCAGAGCTTGTCTTTAATTGCACTGATTTCTGTTTGGAAGCAGTTTAGTGAGAAGCAATGTAACTGTAAAATGAGGTTCCTGAGAACATCAGCTACTCTGGAGTAGTGCACAGGCAACACCCTGAAAAGAGTCCTGGTGCATTTATAGCAGTCCAAAAGTATTATTAACTGCTTTTATCTACTCTATGGAAGGTGATAAATACACTCAAAACTTGAATTGTGCATGACTTCCTTCTTTTTGACAGCCTGTAATCCCCTGGCCCTTGTGGATGCAATGTCCTGTTTATATTTAACTTTGTACTCATTGTGGTGTCGGGTTCATTCTACAATCATAGCAGTTCCTTCTGTGACTATACTACAACTTAGATAGATAGAAACCTCTGAGGGATAAAAGTACTTTTTTTAGTCTTACAATAACTATTTCAGTACAAAGACTCACCAGGGAAGAAAACTGATACTAATGGTGTCACAAAAATACAGGTTGTATAATAGACTCCAAGAAATTAATCCTGGGAATAATTGACAGCACCTATGCTTACAGTTGATGTGTACATAGCTAAGTGCCCAGACAAATGAATTAACAATCTCTTTGTGCTGATAGTTTCAGTAGTTACTGAAATTGTCAGTCATCAGTGGAACAACAAAGAGAGGGTCTAATTGAAGTAAACCCTTAATGTCACAATGAGATTGTAGCCAATTCCCACTGGAAATAAATTTGTATGCTCCTGGGAATTTTTATACCTAGAAAACAATTGGAAATATTTAAGACAATGCTGCTTAAGCTGAACTGTATCTACTGGCACCAGATGTTTTACTTCATCACTCAAATACCTGATTAGAATTCTGCACGGAGAACAAAATTAATATAAGCAGTAGTAAGCTGTGGTTCAATACAGAAGCTGATGTGGCAGGATCTGCTGTATAAGGATACAGTTCTAGTGTAGCCAGTTCATAATCTTATGCTTATCTGAGACTGCATCTGTACATCCTTTGCTACACAAAAGACCACACTGGAAAACCAGTGCATAACATTAAACTCTTCAGAAGTATTCACAGTGCACATTTTACGTGGTGAACTTGTGCAATAGTGGGCTTTAGCTCTCACTGTCAGCAGCTTTTCCAGGAGAACAAACTAATGCTGCTGGAAAGAGCCAGTCTTTGAGAATTGTTTAAGATATCAGTGAAGAAGACATACTTTTCTTTTCTCCTCCTATCCTGGTCTAAAGTAATTTTTCCTTTTTGTTGAGGCAGTCAGCATGTGCAGCTGGGCATTTGAAAGCAGTTCTGTTTGAATGTTGCTCTTTTTGGCTTTTCAGTACTCACCACAGGAAAAAATGCATCAACTTTGTTCTTCTTGGAAGCCCCTGCACATTAGTTCAGCCAGCTTAAAATATGGACATTGGTCTATAGAAGTGGTAACCTCCTTGTGTATTTTACTACAGTGATAGGCTATTTCTTTAATTAACTGAAACTTAATGCAGACATGATTTGTTCTGGATATTAGGCTGGGGGGTTTTTGAACTTCGATTCTGTGATATTGTTCACATGCACCTCCCCAAAACTCTGCATGCCTCATTTTCCAGTCTGAAGCTGAGTCAGGAGGAAAGAAGGCCACGAGAACAGGAGGCAGAGGACACAAATTGACAAGTGCTTAGTGATCACATCTATCTTCCTCTTCAAGTCAGCTCAGATCATAAAATGGTAGAGACAAACAATTACTTGCCAAACAACACCAACTTTCCTGACTTGGTACTACAGAAAACTTATGCTTTACCTTTGTGAATATACCTGTGTAGAGTTTGTCTGAGTCAATTCTGCAACATATGTTATATGCAAAGAAATTAAACAGGACTGTCATAATTTGAAAACATTTTTGATGGATTATTTAGTAATAACTACATATTTTGCTACAGGACCTTCCTATTTTGCAATATGCTGCTATTTTCTTTGGGAGAAAAACAAGCAGAACTTTGTAAGACTAACTGTAAATTATTTCAATTTCAATACATGCATCTGAAGCATTAGGAAAAAATTACTGAAATTTATATATAGTTTTTAAAGATGATAACTGCATCCTCTAACAAAAGGGTTTTGTTCTTCAGATAGTAGCAAGTGGTGATGGCCACGGTTTCACCATAAGCAAAATGTTCCTTTCTGCTAGGTTTGTGCAAAGCAAGTAACATGCAATAGGATGCTGTGAGTTAACTTGTAGCACAGTGCAGTGACTGTGTAAGTACTGAGAATAAAATTGGAGACCTACTCTTGTCTGTTGGCTCTCCCTTCACACAAAAGGACAGAAGGTGCCACCCGCTACTTCCTCATTTTTTAGTCCCTTTTGATTCTTTTCTGAATTGCAGAAGACACTTTCCTTCCCTCTACCACACATGCTCAGGGAGGATGGAAGACCACATTCTAACTAGAGTTCAAAACAGGGTTTTTTAAAAAAAATAAAAGTTGACTTCTCTGACAGCAAAGTGTTGATGTCATCCTCAGTATCAGAGATACAACACCAGAAGGAGCTCTCCTTAAGGTTCTCAGAACACTGGAAAGTGTTGGGGTTTTTTTCTTCTTAAATTGTTCAGGGTCTCTTTGAAGCAAAGTAGCAATCCTTAAAAAAATAAAAGGTGTGGCACTGTATCATCCTTTGAAAGGAAGGCCTGCATGATCGGCACTTCTGCATTAAGAAAGGTAACTGAAAAGTTCGTTGTTAACTCCTGAAATGCTGAGTCTCATCTCTGCTTTTCAAAGCAGCAAATAAACGCAAGACTTTTGGAGGAGGGAGAACAGAATCTGAGTCCTTTGCTAGATAAACTAATTCAGAGTTCATTCTAACAATAATTTGTCTCTCCTTCTTCCCCACCCCTTCCCCCCCTGGCCCCGTTCTGCAATGTTTGAAGTATACTACATTTGCGCTAGATTCCCGAAAGCTTTAACTCAACCAGTTTCTGGAGACATCTTTTACCGTACTACATTTAGCAGCAGCATGAAGATGATGATGAGCTCCAAGAATAACTTAAAATTTAAGTTAGCCACTGTTCACTAGCACAACTGTTAATGTCTACGCTAGAGTTTTAAAATGAGGGCTAGCTAAAAATGTTTTAAGTGATCCACCCCAATCAGCTTTGCATGAATTCTGCTCCCTTGGATACTCTGTCATGTGCACAGTAGCCAGAGGCGTTACCTTTATTCTGTCTGCATGCAGACTTTCCACTTCATTACCCTCATGTTTATATAGATTAAAATATTAATCGGGTAAGCAGCAGTTAGTTACAAATTCTACAGCTATCTTCAAGGCAGGCTGCATACCCCTTGTGTTCTCTTTGTTTCTGACAGTTTGGTCTCAGGTCTTGTCAAAAATAATAGTTCTAAACGGATCTTTCCCTCCATGGACACATACAGACACACACGCAACTCTCCCGGGACATCGCATGGCTGAAGCAGAATTAGCTTTCACTTCCTGCACACCACATCCACGTAACCGGTCCCTGTCTGGCCTGCCTTCTGCGGAAATGGAGCATGTCCCGATATCTCAATTTGCCTGTTTAGTAGCAGCTGTAGTTTAACCATTATCAGCTACTCTAGATTTAGTCCTGGAAGCACCACTATGCTCATTTGCAATCCATTAAAACTATTCCCCCTAACGGCTGAGACATTGGAGTGAATGCTAACACTTGGGTTACTGATACTTTTCAGCGGTGTGTGTGGTGCTATTCCTGGGAACTCTGTGAAGGGCAGAGGGTGGGTACGTGTGTGTGTGTGCAGGTATGGGATCAGCTCAGTGATGCTACCCATATTCCAGCTGCTACCTTAATAGCAATACTTCGCCTCTGTTTGAGGCAGCAACTCCTGCTAAAGTAGCAGGAGCAGGGAAATATGTGCTATTTGAAACTTATTATCTGATACCTCTGTTGGCCTGTGTTCTAGCACCCATGCAGGCCTTCATTTCTCTGCTCCCCGGCTTCACTGCCGTAATTTCCATTGGCTTTCTCCATCATCAGCTACACTGCCCCCCTGCCCCCTCAACTGTCATATGTTCAAAGACAAGAGTCTATGTGAAGACAACATGACAGTAGAGATGATCACACCTAGAGGTATTGAGGCTTGTATTGCCAGTAGCCGTTTCCATCTGTAATGAAAATGTTAAGTGTTAAATGACCGCTGCTGTTTAGTACATTAAATTCCTTTAGCAGTCTTAATACACTGTAGCAAATAACATTAAGGCTGAGTTGTACTTCCAGTTTAAACCCCTTCTTCATTGCTCTTAACTTTCTCTGTGGACTTTCTCAATCCAAGGAACCTTAAGGCTAGTTTGATACCACAGCTACTAGAGATACGCAAACAGTGTTTAATTGTACCTCTACAGGTCCTAAATACCCATCCAAACCAAGAATAAAAAAAAAATTGTCTTTGTTCTGCCTTTAGTTCGTTCTTTCTTTCTATTGTTAACCCAATGTTGTTAGCCTATAGGTAAAATACAAAGCTATTACTCATTTGCCAAGTAATGCTAAATGTTTATCAATCATACTGTTTGTTTTAAAATTATTAGCATGCAATTAATACTATGGGTTTGTTTGGTTTCTTTACATCAAGCTTCATGAAGAATTCTCAACTGTTATAACTACTGAGACAGGCAGATTTGATTGACATAGAAACCATGGGTCATGTAGGCCCAGATCAACCTTCCTGTGTAAATCAGAACCAGTTCCTTGCCTTTTCTGTTCTCAGTCTGGATAATAAAGGCAAAGCCAATTATTCTGCCTCAGCTGCACGCATATGCAAATTGTCCACCGGCTCGGCAGCTGCAGTGGTGCCCTGCACTGTTATCCCAAGCCCTGAAAGATCTCAGGATTCACAGAACCTATCATCCATGAATCCCTTAAAGCAATCAAGTTGTACATTGTACCTGCTCCTTCTAACCACATTTGTTGTGTGAAACAATAAAATTGTTTATAAAGAGATATAATGTATTACACAAGACAGTGCTGATCTGTGATTGAGTTGTGCTTTCTGGGGTGGCTTTCTTTTATCAGCCTTTGGCTGATAGCAGAAAGGTAGGGAAGGAAATTCACCAGCCTGTGGAATTTAAATCACTCCACGAGAACTGAAACAAGTGTTCGGCCCTATGCAGTTCACATACATTCAGCAAGGTAGAAAGATTAATGCAGTCTTTAACCATTTATTTCACACCAGCCCTGATTCAGTCATTTAACACCAACACAGATCAGTTTTCCTTAACCAACATTTAGCACCTTTCTAGAGTAAAGGCAAGGAAGATCAATTATTTTGAGAGCAGTCTAAAGATAGAATGTAACAGATAAAGCTAAATATCGACTATGCGGGCTACACAGTTCTGTGTAAAATGTACCAAAATAGAATTCTAATACTGAGATGTGTTGTGAATACAACACTACGTTTCTGATTTCTCAGAAAGCACTGTGGGGGCTGAGATTGGGGTATTAACAGCAGAAAGAACAAAAGGCAACAGACTTCCCACAACATAAAATTCTTCACAGTAAGACAGTCTGACTCTTGCTGTTCTTACTGTTTATGGATTTCTTGGTGTAATTTTCTGTTCAAGAGAGCTTAACTGTGAACTACAGTTTGTGGATACTGTGTAATTCGATTATTAGGTAACTACTACTCTAAAGCATAAAAGAAGAATGAAAGCATTAAATCTTAGAATGGCTAATTTTTATCCTTTATTTTAGAGCATATGTCTAAGGGGTTGATCCCCTAAATACAGAAAAACAGAAATCTGAAGTAAATTCTTCCAAGGATTCCATGTAAACTCTTCCTGAACAGAGTTATCAGCATGTTAATTCAGAGCTTCCAGGTAAATAGTCTTCAGTTTAAAAAAACTCCCATGATAAAGTGACTTGCTCACTTCAGCCAGAAGCACATTCTTCATGCCATGCTTCTACTGCGTACAAATTATTTAATCTGCTATCCATGACTACTGGGGCACTATCTATGCCAGCATAACCAGCCAAATAAAAGTACAAGTATTGCACATCAACTCTTACAGTCAATGAAGGCAGCTGAACTTCAAAGGTTCGCAACAGATAAAGGGTTTACATGATGCTGTTCTAACCAGTCTTTTGTATTACCTCTCTGCTGGTATGTAGGCCTTACAGAGAAAGCGTACCAATTTCTGTATTGGTGAGATGCCGAGAAAACTAAGACTTAGTCAAACATTAAAAAAAACCCATATATATATATATATATATATATATATATATATATATATATATATATATATATATATATATATATATATATATATATATATATATATATATATATATATATATATATATATATATATATATATAATCTTTCCTTCACAAGGATACAGAGCCTGGTTGCATTCCTTGAGTTGCAACAGGCCTAGGACACGCACGGGATAGTCACACACACAGGCATTATTTGATCAGAGATGACAGACTATGCAGCCTTCATCTGCAGGCAGCTCTGCAATTTGTTCGTGTAATTTGGCAAGGATAGAGAAGTAATACTGGGCTCTAAAGTATCCACTTATCCAGAATCTATTTGATACAGCTCTCATACAGTTACAGTCCAAACCCACCCACATACAAGAATCCAGGCTCTATTTGTCCATACTGTTTATGGCAAACCAGTAAAAGAAATTACATTCTCAGTGCAACTGGCATACAAGTTCCTCATCACTCGGAAGTCACAGGCAATATCAGGAAGTTCAGAGCCACTGGGCCAGGCTGAGACCTGTGCGCCAACCTCTCTGCAGAGAACAGTGTACAAAGCCCTGCTACTGTGGAGAGATGTCACTGTGAGATTTCCTGCACCATCTTTGGTAGGAGAAAGGCAGGAGAAAAGGGTGGTGACACGTGAGATACTGACGGTACAGTGTTTGTGCAGCGCTGGAGCTATTGAGGCATCTCCTGTATTAGTTTCATGCTCTGTCCCTACATCACTTGTCCGTGACCTGCCTGTACTCTGCAGACCATCTCCTCCAGCAGTAGGAAAGGGCTTAAGACCTCCTCTGCAATAACATCCACCCACTTTCTCCTCAGACAAGTGGCAGACCAACACTGTGGCAAATGCTAGATCAAAAGCTCTAGAAGATAAGGGAAAATAGTAGAACTCCCCATGCCACCTTGGACTGCTGAAGCCCATGATGAAACCTGCCCTCCCCCCATTCCCCCAAGCCATGTTCCAGGTCCTGAGCAGTTGGCCAGCAAAGATCAGTGAAGGGACTCACATGCTCCACATAAGTCTCCCTCCTATATCCCACCAACTCTTGTCCAAAATTGCGGTGGTGGCTTGGTATTTGATAGTACTGGGAGGCTTGGTAGGGGTGGAGGGGGACACAAGACTTGGTTGGAATGTCCTCCTGGCATGCAAGAAGGGAAATTGTTGGTTTTTAGGACTAACACTAACCAGCCTCTCTTGGAAGCCAGGCTGAAAGCAGAATCTAGCTGTTCATTTAGTGAACTAATGGTGCCCGTTTTATCATCTTGAACACAGAGCTTCCTGCAGAAGCTAGTTTTAGTTACTGACCCAACCTGTGGGTGCAACAAGAGCAAACTGTTCCTTAGGAACAGAAACAGTAGATCTCTCTGCCACAGTTTAATTCTCTGTTTGCTCAAGATCAGCCCTGCATCAGTGACTGCACAATGACATATATGACAGATATGACATATCTGACTCCATGCTAAACTAACTCTTTGGCTCTGTATTTGATTTTCACAAGAAACGAAAAACAAATAGACATGGAAGAATGCTAAAAGGACAGGTCACTAGCCAGGGTGACTACCCTAGGCTGACTTCTTACAAGCCATTTAAGTTTCCTATGGTTAACTGAACTCCTATTCTTCTCTCTCTTGCACTGAGAGTGATCTTGCTTGCAACGCTGCAAATGGGGCTGTTTCTTCCCAGGTGTATTTGTCCTCTGGGAAAGGGATCAAAGCATGCAATCATATTTGCAAAGCACTGAAATACTTGTAAAAAACGGTTACATACAGACTATTAAGAGGCTGTTTGTCAGTACTAATTTCAGAAAAGCACAGAGAACCTTTTCTACCAGAAAAAAAAAAAAAAAAAAAAAAAAAAAGCACTGCCTGTAAGACAAAGGGTCACACACTTATTTTCTTTACTACACATAAACAAAGCCAGTCTGTGGCTCCTGAACAAAGTAAACCCAGAAGCTGTAAGTCAGGGTTTAGATGACTTAAAGTTTGAGCAGCCTTGAAAGTAGAAATTCTCCCCCATGTCACTTGGTTAGCTCTTCCATAGATCAGGTCTTTGGTAGTGCTCCAATTTCAAATTCTATTTATCTAATGATCAGTGGACAAAATTTATTGAACTACAGCATTTAGCAGCTGAGAAGTAAAGCTGAGAAGTAAGAGTTTCAAATAATTATGAAGTTTTCTCGTATCTGGCTGAAATGAAACTTGTTCCTAGATAAACCAGCACCTCCTTCAGTTTGACCATTAAGGTACATTCCACCAGTATTTAAAGAAAACCTCTTTGGGAATGCTGCAGCATCAGAGCAATTGTACACAACTTCTGTAAATTTCTGGGCTAATAGTGAGTACTTCAAAAAACCCCAACAAATACTAAGTGCTGCAAAAATGAGTTTGCTACCACCTCTTTAGGCAGCAAAGACTACACACAATGTCACTCTTCAGAAAAGAAGTTTTAGTTTGATATTGCTAATGACAACTTTGTAAACAGAAATTAAATGCACAGCATTATGCAACTGTGTTACAGTGCTTCAGTATAAGGAATTCTACTTAAGTGCACTGGGAAATAAAGCAAACAAAAGAAGAACCGTTTCTTTATAGCAACAAGAGGATCCGATGCCAGGAGAGAGGCAGCCATCCCAAGGGCACAACAAACAACTGCGTAGGTGCAGTTGCACTGACCATCCTTCCCCTCTGCGCAGATGCAAAAGCAGTTCTGTACTTCACCGTAGCATTGCTCGGTGTGTATTGCTTGGCTTGCAAAGGCATTCATCAAGCTACCTTGCAAACCTGGCCAATGGTGCTAGGACTGTACTTGTCTACAGTGAGTCTGGTTGAATCCTTGCCACCGATCTAAATCTGTGGGTCTTGGACAAGTCCAACACTCAGATCTCCTGACTGCAAAGCTGCTAGCCGTACAGTGTTCAACACCTTGGCATCAACACACTACCACCATGCAACAAGGACAGCAGCAGCAACGCTGACCAGACTTCATTAAGAACTGGTATTGTTTCTTATATTTGGCAGAACTGCCATTTTGGCAGCTAAACTGTGCGCAACCTTGCCCTACTGAGCCTCACGGCCCACCCTCTGTCCTCAGTACAGCCAATGCTTCTGCATAAAGACCATTTCCTCTTGGAAACTGGGCAAGGTCTCTTCTGCTCTAAGTTCACCAGGCCACACTAGCCTGCAGCTCTGAGCTCTGTCATCATCTTTGCTTTTAAAGCACTCTGGACAACCACAGTGCTGTACAAAACACACCCATTTATTTAGGCAAATGACATTAGCTCTGCCTATTACATTGGTGCAACCAAACTGACATTTTTATTGATCCAGGTAGCCTGTTCTATGTCTCTTCATTATTTTCCATTTGTCCAATTAACGTAAAAGGAGAGAAGAAAAATAGGCTGTGACAGGACCCTGAATCAGCTAGAATATTCGTGTGGAACTACTCCCACCTTTTCTTTCATATAAGCACATCAAAATATAGCAAGAAGCTCCCAATCTCTAAACCAGAATATGTTCTAGTTTATTAGGCTCTAAAATAAGCCCTCTCTTCAAATAGATAAAAGACTGAGATGTGATTGGTAAGGCAGTCAATAAAAAGAGTTTCAAAGCAAATCCTCCCTTCCTCGTCACTCTCCTTGCAGAAAGAGAGGGACTCTGTCTCTTTTGCTGGAGTTTCCCCACCCCATGTCACTGCTCTTCTTTCCCTGTAAAAGGTTTTTCTAACTGAGAAGAACAGCTATTTTTT